AATATATGGGAAGTAGCAAAAGCAGTGCTCAGAGTGAAATTTACAGCTATCAATGCCTACATTAGAAAAAGATCTCAGGGGTACCTGGGTGGCTCTGTTGGTTAAGTGTCTGACTATTGATCTCGGCTCAAGTCTTGATCTCGGGGTTGTAAGTTCAAGCCCCTTCTTGGGCTCCACAATGTGGAGGCTACTTCATAAAAAAATATCTCGGGGCACCTGGATGGCTCAATCAGTTAAGCGTCCAACTTTGGCTCAGGTCATGATCTCATGGTCCATGAATTCCACCCCCACATTGGGCTCAGTGCTGACAGCTCAGAGCCTGGAGCCTGTTTCAGATTCTGTGTCTCGCTCTCTGTCTCTGCCCTTCCCCCACTCATGCTCTCTCTGTCTCTGAGAAATGAATAAACCTTAAAACAAATTTTTTTTAATATCTCAAATCAGAATCTTATTGTACATCTCAATGAACTACAAAAAGAACAGCAAATGGAACCCAGAACTAGCAAATAGAAGGAAATAGTAAAAATTATAGCAGACAAAAACAAATTATTAGAAAAATAGAAACAAAAAAAAAGTTAATTCTTTGAAAAGATCAACAAAATTGACAAAGTTTAGCTGGAAGAACTAAGGAAAGACGACTCTATTACTAACACCAGAAACTAAAGTGGAGACATTATTACTGAACTTACAGAAATAAAAAGGATTATACAATGAACATTGTATGCCAAAAAATTAGGTAACCAGGATAAAATGGACAAATTCTTAGAACACAAACTACCAAAACTAACTTAAGAAGAAATAGAAAATCTGAATAAACCTCAATCAATCAATAATTTAAAAATCATCCAATAAATAAATGCCCAGGAGTATATAACTTCACTGGTATGTTCTATCAAACTTTTAAAAATTGTTTTTTTTTTTTTCAACGTTTATTTATTTTCGGGACAGAGAGAGACAGAGCATGAACGGGGGAGGGGCAGAGAGAGAGGGAGACACAGAATCGGAAACAGGCTCCAGGCTCTGAGCCATCAGCCCAGAGCCCAACGCGGGGCTCGAACTCACGGACTGCGAGATCGTGACCTGGCTGAAGTCGGACGCTTAACCGACTGCGCCACCCAGGCGCCCCGAAACTTTTAAAGGTGAATTAACATCCATTTTTCTCAAATTCTTAAAAGAAATAGGAGAATAGTGACTATCTCCTGACCCATTCCATGAGGCCAGCAGTACCTTGATACCAAGCCCTACAAAGACATCACAGGAAAACTATAAACCAATATCCATCATGAATACAGAAGCAAAAATTCTCAACAAATTACTAGGATACCAAATTCAGCAGCACATTAAAGGAATTATGCATCATGATGTAATGAGATTTATCCCAGGAATGCAAGTGTGGCTCAACACGACAACCTTTCAATGTAAGACACGATATTAATAGAATAAAGGGGGAAAAACAACCCTAATCATCTTAATAGGCACAGAAAAGACATCTGACAAAATCCAACATTGTTTCATGATAAAAACATTCAATGCACTAGGAATAGAATAAAACTTCCTTAAAAGGTTAGAGGACATTTATGGAAAAAACCACAACTAACATCATACTCAATAGTAAAACACTGAAATCTTTCCCTTAAGAACACAACAAAGATGATAGCTCTCACTACTTCCATTCAATATTGCACTGGAAGTCCTAGCCAAAGTAATTAAGCAAGGAAAATAAATAAAAGACATCTAAATTAGAAATTAGAAAAGAAGAAATAAAATTATCTATTCCCAGTTGACATGGTCATATATATAGAAAGCCCTTAGGGATCCACAAAAACCTACTAGAGCTAATAAATTCAGCAAACTTTTGTAATACAGATTCAGTTCTGTTGTATTTCTATACACTAGCAATAAACAGTTGAAAAAGAAATACAGAAAACAATTCCTTTTATAATAGCATTAGAAAGAATGAAATATTTAGGTGTAAATTTAACCAAGGAGACATAAGACTTACACACTAAAAATGACAACACATTGCTCAAAGAATTTAAAGAAGACCCAAATAAATAGAAAAACTCCCATGTACATGGGTTAGAAGATTCAATATTGTTAGATGGTAATATTTCCCAAATATGTCTACATATTCTATTCAACCCCTATCAAAATCTCAAATACCTTTTTTTTTGCAGAAATAGATAAGCCTATCCTAAAATTCATATTAAATTGTAAGCGATCCTGAATAGCCAAAACAATCTTGAAAAAGAAAAATTAGAAAACTCACACTTCCCAACTTCCTATAAAGCTAAAGTAATATAGTAATCAGTAATCAGAACAGTAATCAGTATGGCACTGGCATAAGGATAAACATACAGATCAATAAAATAAAAATAAGAGCCCAGAAATAAAACTATGCATCTATAGTCAACTGATTTTCAAAAGGTGCCAAGACCATCCAGTGAGGAAAGAAAACTCTCTTCAACAAATGGTGCTGGGAAAATTGGATAGCCACAAGCAAAAGAATGAAGTTGGACCCTTAACTCACACTATATACAAAAATTAACCGAAATGGATTAAATACCTAGGTTATAGAGCTAAAACTCTTAAAAAGAAAACATTGGAAATGATTTCTTAGATATGATGTCAAAAGCATACACAACAAAAGAAAAAATAGATAAACAGAACTTCATCAACATTAAAATATTTTGTGCTTTGAAGGACACTTTCAAGAAAGTGAAAAGACAACTTCCAAAATGGAGGAAGAATTTTTATAAATCATATGTCAGATAAGGGTCTAGTACCTAGACTATATACAACTTTTACAACTAAACAACAAAAAGACAAAAAAAGACAATTTTAATATATTATATATAATATATATGTAATTAATCCATTTTAAAATTTATTTAAAAATATTTTAAAATATATATACACATCTATATGTATACATACATATATTAATCTAAAATTATATATATACATATATATTAATCTAAAAGGTAATATTGTAACTTTGGTTTGTAACTCTGCGTTCTGTTTTCTACATGATTTAAGAGACTAATTCATTAAAAAATTATTATTTTGCTTTTGGACATACAACGTATAAAGATATAGTTTTGTGATATCAGTCATTGAAAGGCGGTGGGGATGAGCTACATAGGAGTCGAGTTTTTATATGTTATTGAAGTTAAGCTGGTATCCATTCAAATTGTTAACTTTAGGATGTTAAATGTAAGTCCCATGGTAACTACAAAGAGTATAGCTATGGAATGTATATGAAAGAAAGTGAAAAAAGGAAAACACTTTACTATTAAAAACTCAGCTAAACACAGAAGAAGACACTAACACAGGAAATGAGAGACAAAAAAGCTATAAGGCATATGGAGAGTAAACAGCAAAGTGAGAGAAGTCAATAATTATTCTAAGTGTAAGTGGATAAAACTGTCCAATCAAAAGTCTATGCACTAATAATGAACAATCTTTAAAGAAAATTAAGAAAATAATTCCATTTACAATAGCATCAAAAAGGATAAAATACTTAGGAATGAACTTAACCAAGGAGGTGAAAGACTTGTACAATAAAAACTATAAAACACTGCAGAAAGAAATTAAATAAGGTATAAATCAACTGAAAGCTATTCCATGTTCATGGATTAGAAGACTTATTATTGTTAAGATTTCATTGCTACTCTCTATTGAAATCCCATTTTTTTACAGAAATAGAAAAAAATCCATCCTAAAATTACCTGGCATCTCAAGGGACCATGAATACGACCTTGAAAAAGAGGAATAAAACTAGAGGACTCACACTTCTTGGTTTCAAAACTTACCACAGAGCTACAGCAATCAGAAATATGGTACTGGTATAAAGACAGACATACGGACCAATGGAATATACTAGAGAACCCAAAAATAAACACTTGCATATGTGGAAAAATTATTTTTGACAACGGAGCCGATATTATTCCATGGAGAAAGGACAGCTTTTTCAACAAATGGTGCTAGGACAACAGGATATCTACTTGCACAAGAACAAAGTTGAACCCTTATCTAACATAATATACAAATTATCTCAAAATGGATGAAAGACCTAAATGTAAGACCTGCAACTATAAAACTCTTAGAAGAACACATAGGGCACAAGCTTCATATCATTGGATTTGGCAATGATTTCTAGCATATGATACCAAAGGAACAGGCAAGAAAAGTAAAAATAGACAAAGTATAATTATGAAAATCAGACACTTTTGTGCATCAAAAGACACTATCAATAAAGTGAAAAGGCAACCCACAGAATGGGAGAAAACATGTGTAAATCATATGTCTGATAAAGGATTAATATCTAGAACATATAGAAAACTTCTAAAAACTCAAAGACAACAACAACAAAAAAACCCTAATTTTAATGGGAAAGGATTTGGGGAATGTGGGTGGCTCAGTCAGTTGAGCATCTGACTCTTAATTTCAGTTCAGGTCATGCTCTCACGGTTCATGGGTTCAAGTCCCATGTCAAACTCCACACTGACAATGCGGAGCCTTGGAATTCTCTCTCTTTCCCTCTCTCTTTCTGCCCTTTCCCTGCTCGCTCACTTGCTCAATAGAAATAAATTAAATACATAAATAAATAAATAAATAAATACCTTTTTTTTTTTTAATGGGAAAGGATTTGAATAGGCATTTCGCCAAAGGAGATAAGCAAATAGCTGATAAGTACAAGAAAAGAAGCCCAACATCACTATTAGGGATATGCAAATCAAAACCACAATAAAATATCACCTCGCACCCATAAGGATGGCTGCTTAAAAAAAAAAAAAAAAGTGTTGGTGAGGTGGGGGATAAATTGGAAATTTGTGTACTGTTCCTGATCATGTAAAATGGTGTAGCTGCTGTGGAAAACAGTATGGTGGTCCCTAAAAAAGAGAGACAGAGAGAGAATTACCATAGTATCCAACAATTCCACTTCTGAGTATACCCAAAAGAATTGAAAGCAGCATCTTTCTGCAATATTTGTATTTCAGAATGCTGTTCTTAGCAGCATTATGCACAATAACTAAAAGGCAGAAGCAAACCAAGTATCCACCAACCGATGCATGGGTTAACTAAATGTGGTGTACATATACAATGGAATTCTTCAACCTGAAAAAGGAAGAAAATCCTGACCAAGCTACAATATGGATGAACCTTGGGTACATGATGCTAATTGAAAGAAGCCAGTCACAAAAAGGTAAATACCATATGGTTCCACTTGTCTGAGGTACCTAGGTGATCAAACTCATAGAGACAGAAAGTGGAATAGTGCCTGCCAGGGACTGGAGGAGGAAGGAATGGGGAGTTGTTGTTTAATGGGTACAGAGTTTCAATTTTATAAGATAAAAAGAGTTCTGGGGATAGTGCTGATGGTTGCACAACAATATGAATGTCTTTAATACCACTGAACTGCACCCTGGAAAATTGAGATGGAAAAAAATTATTAAGATGATACATTTTATGTGTATTTTTACAGAATTAACAAACACCCCCCCCCCAAATAAAAATAATAATGACAATGCTAAATGTTGGCAAGGATGCAGAAAAACCAGATCACCCATACATTGCTGGTGGAAATGTAAAATGGCACAGTGACTCTGGAAAACAGTGTGGCAGTTTCTTATAACACTAAACATGCAATTGTCATAGAGCACAACAATTATACTCTTGAGGATTTTTATCCCAGAGAAATGAAAACTTATGTTTCCACAGACACCTGCATACAAATGTTCACAGCAGCCATATTCATATCAGCTGCAAACTGGAAACCATCCACACATCCTTGGACAAGTGAGTGATTAAATACACTGTTGGTACATCCATACCATGGAACACTGTTCAGCAATGGAAACAAGCCCTTGACACACACAACTTGGGTGAATCTGCAGGGAATTATGCTAAGTGAAAAAAAAAAAAAAAAAGCAAATCCTAAAAGGATACATATGTATGATTCCATTTGTGTAACACCCTTGAAATGACAAAGTTATAGAAATGGAGAATAGATTAATGGTTGCAAGGGGTTGGTGGTTGGGGGAGGAGGGATGTGTCTATGAAAGGGCAACAGAAAAGGTCGTTGTGCAGGAACCATCCTACATCTTGACTGTATGGATGGCAATATCCTGGTCGTGATATTATGCTATAGTTTTGCAAGACAGTACCACTGTGGGAAACTGGGTAAAAGAGACCTGGGATCTCTCAGTATAATGTTTTGCAACTGCACGTGAGTCTACATTTATCACTAAATAAAAAGTATAATTAAAAATATATAGTTATTTTTTTAATTTCTGTTTCTTCTTTTTAATTTCTTTTAACGTTTATTCATTTTCGAGAGACAGAGGGAAACACAGTGCAAGCAGGAGTGGGGCAGAGAGAGAGGGAGACACAGAATCTGAAGCAGGATCCAGGCTCTGTGCTGACTGTGAGGAGCCAGCTGGCCATTCTCTTTCTCTATCCCTCCTCCACTCGCACAGGTGCTCTAAACAAACAAACAAACAAACATTTAAAAAACAAAATGTCAGTCACGTTAACATATAGGGGTTTTGTATTATTTTTCGTGAAGAAAATTTTTAAATTTCAGTTTTAATTTTTTTAAGTGTTTATTTAATTTGAGAGAGAAAGAGAGAGCATGAGCAGGGGAGGAGAGAAAGAATCCCAAGCAGGCTCTGTGCTGTCAGTGCAGAGCCCAACTCGGGGCTTGAACTCACCAACCATGAGATCATGACCTGAGCCAAAATCAAGGGTCAGACGCTTAACCGACTGAACCACGCAGGCGCCACTCAGTTTTAATTTCTAATAGAGTAAATGTTAATAAATATAACACACTTAGAGAAAAGCTTGGGGTCCTTAATAATTTTTAAAATGGGGTCCTTGGATCAAACAGTGTAAGAACTGCTCTTCTGCCCTTGGCCAACAGATTTAGAATTCCTTCCCCATTCCTGGCAAGGCATGAATGGCTGCATTTAACTTGGAACCTAAGTGACTTTGAAGAGTTAAGATACAGAGAGCAAGCGACATGCAAAGTCTTTCCAACTTTGTTTATCGATAGAGCAGCTGCCTACAGTAAGTCAACCAAGGCACCATGCCAGAAGCATATACTATACACAGGAACCTCACCTTGAGTAGACAACAAAGAATACAAAAGATAATAAATTTCCACGAGAGAATACTATTTTCATGAGAACAATACTGCCTTGAAGTTAATTTCTTAGCCTAACAGGTCTTTCAGTAATTCATGTAAGGGAAAGCTTGTGGTATTTTAAACGGTCTCTGGTATGAGAAGTAAGGGAAAAGGAACCTTAGAAATGGTGGCAACTCTAACAAAAACATAATGTGGTGCAATGCTTTGAACAGAACATCTCTGCATGGATAATTCTGGTTCAGACCTTGGCTTTTAATTTTAAAAAAAAGAAGAAGGAGAAGGAGGAGGAGGAGGAGGAGGAGGAGAAGGAGAAGAAGAGGAAGAGAAGAAGAAGAAGAAGGAGAAGGAGAAGGAGAAGAAGAATGAATGCTACACTAACATAGGAATCCAATTTGGAAGAAATGACAACCCATTTTTATGCAAAATGGTCAAGGTCTACTGGCAGTGAGTTCAAGTCCCACGTTGGATGTAGAGATTTCCTAAATAAATAAACTTCTAAAAAATAAAAATTAAATTTAAAAAAGTAATAAAATAGCACTCTTTAATGTCTGCATAGTGTTTCTCTCAATTGAACTGTAGGTAAAGTATTTCATGGGGTTTTTTTTTTAGGTTTAAATGATCGCCAAACACTATTAGCTTTTATATTGCTCCTAACTTCAGGAAAGGGTCAGGTAGGTACTAATGACGAATGTCAGCTCTCCCTCCAGAAGAATTCTTTCCCCTCTCAGTCACCGTGGCCCCATCAAATTATCTGTGTAACGTTTCTACTGGCCTATCTCTTTTTTTTTTTTTAACATTTATTTATTTTTGAGACAGAGAGAGACAGAGCATGAACAGGGGAGGGGCAGAGAGAGAGGGAGGCACAGAATCGGAAGCAGGCTCCAGGCTCTGGGCCATCAGCCGAGAGCCCGACGCGGGGCTCGAACTCGCGGACCGTGAGATCATGACCTGAGCCGAAGTCAGACGCTCAACCGACTGAGCCACCCAGGCGCCCCGTCACTGGCCTATCTCTTAACTAAACTTTGTGTTCTCAAAAAAATCAGCTGATTAAAAATGAGTCAACTTCTTGAATATCTTTTGTTGAATACCTGCTAAGTTAGAGCACATCACAGCATCTCATTTAATGCTCAGAACAAACCTAAAGAGTGAGGGAGGAAATAAACCATGTGACATTTCTGCTATGAATAAAACTGTATGATTTACAGGTAAAAGTGAGAACATTCATGCTACAGTAAAAGCAAAACAAACTCCACAATTTTCTTGACCATAAATTTTAAGTGTCATTAGTAAAAAAAACCTCATCACACTAAAGACCCTGAATGCTGTGTCCCCTGCTCAACTGACCCAGAATTCCCACTGGGAATCCTCTCACAAGTCAGAAGAAATTGAACATGAGAGAAATCACTTACATTTGGAGGTTTGTATCGGAGATTTCATCCCAAATTCTAGCCTAGGTACTGGGCTATCATGGACAGAGCCAGGCTTTGGGTCAGAAAGCCCTACTTCAGGGGAGCCTGGGCAGCTGAGTCGGTTAAGTGTCCGACTTCAGCTCAGGCCATGATCTCATGGTTCATGAGTTCAAGCCCCGTGTCGGACTCTGTGCTGGCAGCTCAGAGCCTGGAGCCTGCTTCGGATTCTGTCTCTCTCTCTCTCTCTCCTCCTCTCTCTCTCTCTCTCAAAATAAATAAACATTAAATATTTTTTTTATAAAAGTAAGCCCTACTTCAAATGTCAGCAATGTCACTTATTAGCTTACCCTCCTCCCAGTCACAATCACCTTCTTATAAAATGGAGATAATAATATGTGGGGGGGCCAGGCCCCAGTGCCAGGCTGAGACCGGGTCGAGCAATGTTCCCCGTTGACTCAAGCCAACCCGGTGGTTCCCCCTCCCATTCATGTGGGAGGCCGGGCCCGGCGCCAGGCTGAGACCGGGTCAAGCAACGTTCCCTGTTGACTTAGCCAACCCGGTGGTTCCCCCTCCTATTCCCCCACTCTCAAGGACATACGAAAGCCTTGTCAAGGCTGAGAAAGTTAATTCCTGAAGCCTGTGGTCTGCAGGTGTTGGCAGTAATGCTACCTCCCTTTTTCTACCCCCGAGTCAGATAGAAACAAACATGGGAATTGTGTTTTGCTAGCAATCTTATCAACAAGGTCTTGTTGTGACCCGTCTAGAAAATGCACAAGAAACACAGAACTAAATGTTTTCATTGGCAGCGATTATGTGAAACCTGTTTATTCTTAGAATGGCCTGACCCATAAGAGTCTGGATATAAAAGATTGTGTACAGCAACAATAAAGCCGTCACTTGGGCCATCAGCCCAGGGGACCCTCCTGTTCCCAAACTTTCTCTTCTCTCTTTTTTCTTGCATTCCCCTACCCTCAGGACCCTGACCTCGGTGTTTGTCGCGCCGGTCGCGACAATAATAGCACTCAATTTATGTTTGTTGTAAGGATTAAATGAGACATTGTAAGATGCTATAACCAAGCAGGTATTGGACAAATGATATCTATTCTTATATCTTGTGTAACTCATAAGTACCTATGGGAAAAAGAATGTAAGATTGACAGACTTTAAGTTAAGCACCTGGGGAATTCACTAGCTAATACCACCCATAGAGAAAGATAACTTGGTGAACACCGGGCGGGAAGCTGTTGCTAACATGGTATCAATTCTTCTGCGATTCAAGGATTTAAAACTTTTACTGACTCAGAGCACCTGAGTGGCTCAGTCGGTTAAGTGTCCGACTTTGGCTCAGGTCATAATCTCACAGCTTGTGAGTTCGAGCCCTGCGTCAGGCTCTGTGCTTACAGCTCGGAGCTGGAGCCTGCTTTGGATTCTGTCTCCCTCTCTCTCTGCCCCTCCCCCACTCATGCTGTCTCTGTCTCTCAAAAATAAATAAACATTAAAAAAAAAAAAAACCCTTACTCATACTCTATTGTTGTCTCTAATCCACTGTTGTCTACTCTGTACAACACCCACCCTTTCTACTCTGCTCTATAATGTTGTGGCTAGATGGCTGTAAACTCCATGTTTCTATTAGCTTCTACTACTAGGAGG